AACCCAAAACAAGTAAACCTGTTTTGACAGTACATCCTGTCAGGTACATCCTGATGTTTAATGGATGATGTCCTTAAACTAAAACATTTTATGACGCAATCAGAACAACCCCGCAACAAGATGTCAGAAGTTACCATAAAAAACTTTGTATGATTTAAAATTTTCTGATTAATTTTTAGAAGTCTGTTTCACAGAGTTGCCAAGTTCATGGTTTTTCCACAGAATTTGGTTACATTTAACCACACTGAGGTTCTTTTTTTATTCTGCAGGTTAAAGGTTTGACATATTGCATCTCTTATATTTATATGGTTTGACTGAAACAATAATTTACTTTACCAAGTTTATAATTTACAAATGATAAAAATGGTGCTAGGATTAAGATACCAAGTAGGCTAAAAAGAATGGTGCCCTGGAGGAGTGTGCAGCACATCGTGATGCTGTTTCTGTGACAACAGATTGACAGGACAGCAAAAGTATATAAATCTACCGAAGAAAGTCCACCGATTTACAAGTTGATTAATTTCATAGATGTTTACTTCAGATTTGTTTTTTTTTGTTTTTTTTTTATATTTTTAAGGCATTGGGTTAGTTTTGATGGAATAATCAGGCAAGTCTGTTATGTAATGTAATGTGTATTCATATAGCGCATTTATTGTGTATGGCCATACACCCAAAGCACTTTACAATCCTGGGGGGTCTCTCCACACCACCACCAGTGTGCAGAATTCACTTAGATGATGCGAAGGCAGCCACAGGGAAACAGTGCAATTGCGCTCACTATATACCAGCTATAGGTGGAGTGGAAAGACAGTGATAGAGCCAATTCAATAGATGAAGATGATTAGAAGGCCATGATCAGAAATGGCCGATGAAGGGAATTTGCCAAGGATTACATCCCTACACTTTACAAGAAGTGCATTTTTCATATTACTATGGTTTTATTAGTGATGATAATAAAAAGCACATTTCCTTTAGGGTATAACATTTTTACTTATCAGAAGTAAGGTAAAATTAGTTTGCATGGGTATAAAAAAACATAGATTGGCTGAGAAAGTGGTCCTGAGTAAATAATACAAAACAACAACAAAACTGGTCTCACGACATCAACCGACGGACATTTTTCTTAAATGGATTTAGCTTTGAATGAGTCACGGAATATTACATCCAAAAAGGTAGGTTCACACTAAGGTAAGGTAGTTGTACACACCACAGGCGCCTCATCTTCTTCTTCATCATCTTCTTTATTTTCTTCTTCGCGAGCCGCCAGTTGCCTCCAGTCAATATCATCATCCACAATTTTCATCCTGTAACGTTAGTTTATTATGAATTAAACACAGAACTCAGCTGCTTAAGAAATTTTCAATTGGCTGCTTATTGCCAATTTTTAAAATACTGTTTGTAAGCAACTGTGTATGTTCTTTGAGAATCAGTCAGTCATAATTCCATTATGTTCAATGATTGTTGCGAATTAAATTCTGCATTTCTGTGGAGTGTGTTCGGTCACACTTACCCTTTTCCAGAAGGTTTTGGTCGCTTCTTCTTAACCTTCTTTTCTTTAGATTTTTTATCAGCTTCATCATTTGATAAATAACGTTTAAGATAATCTGCTTTACTGAGCGCAGCGCCTTTGCTAATGCCAGTGGAAGCAGCCATCTTGTTTATTTATGGCGTCACAGTACGTAGGCTGCTAAGGGACAAAAAGTACAACGCAAACAGAACTCGCTTGCCTGCTTGATATAATAAATTACGCGACATGGAAACACATGTAGCCCATCCATGTATTATCTTGCCTGTTTATTCATAACTGCCAGAAGTTTAACAGTTTCACCAAGTTGGTCAGTTTTCATCACTTTATTAACTTTATTAAAAATAGCTTACAGTAAAAGGTTTTGGATTGCTATTCACAAGTTAGTGTACTCTTTCAGTGCTGGAAGGGCATCTGCTTGTGTAAAAAAAATGCGTTAGAGTAAATAGCGGTTCATTACACTGTGGCCTCTGATGAAGTAGGGACTAAAGCTGAAGGAAAGTGAGTATTATTTTTTTATTAATAATTTTACATGAATGTAAATAATGTACACAGTAACACAAAAATTACTTTGGAATGTCAAATATAACACAGTAATATACTATTTAATATATGTGGAATAACAAATAATTTCAATATAACAGAACGTAAGTGCAGCATTGGCTCTCTCCGACCAGGGAGCAGACCCCGCCCCTTTCCGCTAAGAGCATGTCCAGAGCCAGTCTGTTTTGCATAGTCATTAGTCTCAGAGCTTTCATCTCCTCTCTTAAATGTGAAACACGGGCGAAGCAGTAGGTAGTGCTGTCGCCTCACATCAAGAAGGTCGCTGGGTCGCTGGTTCGAGCCTCGGCTCAGCTGCTGTTTCTGTGTGGAGTTTGCATGTTCTCCCTGCAGTGCAAAGACATGTGGTACAGGTGAATTGGGTAGGCTAAAATGTCTGTAGTGTAAGTGTGTGTGGATGTTTCCCAGAGATGGGTTGCGGTTGGAAGGGCATCCACTGCTTAAAAACTTGCTGGATGAGTTGGCGGTTCATTCCGCTGTGGCGATCCCGGATAATTAAAGGGACTAAGTCGACAAGAAAATGAATGAATGAAAACACCTTATTTTTATGTCCAATAAACAATTTGATTTGATATTGAAATTGAATTTGCATCCCTGTGAAATATATCTTCATTATTCTTTGGCTTAAATAATTTTATTGTTATTTTATTTTGTGTTTATATTCATAATGATATTAATGACTTTTTACTCTTGCTCTTTGCAAAAATCTGTGCAAAAACAATCAGCAGAGAGTTAAAACTAACTTATGGTAAGTTAAATTTAAAAAGTATAATTAATAAATGGCGCAGTGGGTAGCACAAGTGCCTCACAGCAAAAAGATTGCTGGTTCGAGCCTACGTTTCTGTGTGGAGTTTGCATGTTCTCCCCGTGTTCGCTTAAGTTTCCTCCCGGTGCTCTGGTTCCCAAATGCACTATAGCTGAACTGGGTAAGCTAAATTGTCTGTAGTGTATGTGTGTGAATGAGAGTGTGTCAGATCCCAGTGATGGGTTGCAGCTGGGAGGGCATCCACTGGCCATCCATATGATGGAGAAGTTGGTGGTTCATTTACGCTGTGGCGACCCCAGATTAATGAAGGGACTAAGCCGAAAAGAACAAGAATAAAAATCTCAATAATCAGTAAAATACAAACTATGTGAAACACCTTTGTGATCAACATGATGTGGGTGGCATGGTGGTTCAGTGGTTAGCACTATCGTCCCACAGCAAGAAGGTCACTGGTTCGAGTCACGGCTGAGCCAGTCGGTGTTTCTGTAGGAGTATGTTCTCTCCTTGTCCACATGGATCTCCTATAAGTGAATCGGGTTAACAAAGTGGCCGTATGGTTTATAAGTGGCTGTATGAATGTGATAGTGTAGGGTGTTTCCCAGTACTGAGTTTTGGCTGGAAGGGCATCTGCTGTTAAAACATATGCCAGAATAGTTGGCTTTTCATTCCGCTGAGGCGACCCCTGATAAATAAGAGACTAAACCAAAGGAGAATTAATGATTTTATGAGACATACGTTAATTACATTAACATTTGTTCCTCTGTGATTCAAATGGTTTCAGATGCAGTCAGTAACAGAATCAAATTCATGTTTAAAGTGTGTACTAAAGAGGATCTAAGAAATAACCTCTGTTGGCTCTAAAACACAAAAATTGTGGTCATATTCACATGCACAGGATATTTTCCAGGAAATGGATTGAATCACTTCCTTCGATCTGCGGCTGCGCAGCTTCTCATGGGGAAAAACACTTTACATAACGCTCATTTCTCCGTACTTTCTCTTTTCTCATTTCGATGTATATATATATATATATAGATATATATATACACACACATATATATATATATATATATATATATATATATATATATATATATATATATATATATATATATATATATATATATATATATATATATATATATATATATATATACACATACATACATATACATATATATGTACACACAGATGAAGCAGAGCAAGGAAATTTTCACAGTATGTCTGATAATATTTTTTCCTCTGGAGAAAGTCTTATTTGTTTTATTTCGGCTAGAATAAAAGCAGTTTATAATAATAATAATAATAAACATTTTAAGGTCAAAATTATTAGCCCCTTTAAGCTGTATTTTTTTTAGATCATCTACAGAACAAACTATCGTTATATATTAACATGCCTAATTACCTAATTCTATTCTATATATTTCTATTTTCTGCAAAACAATGGTCAAGAAGACCCAGAATATCTTTTAAAGCTTTATTCTTTGCAAAGAAGGTCAGACAGTCATACAGCAACACAGGTTTCTGCAGAGTGTGACACAGAAGGAAGAGAGTGTCTTTCAGAAGAGTTCTACTCCCCACAAGGTCACCATGGGTGGATTGCAGTTTAGTTGCCAGCCACAAATAGCTTAACTGGTTAATGCATACAGAAGGTCAGATGATAAACAGATGTCAAAGTAGCCACGTGTGGCTTGAGTAATGTGTAAAGAAAAAATAGCCCTCGCAATGTAAATGAATTTCCACTCCACTATTCAGCTGGTAATAATTGAATAATATTAGTGAAACAAACAAGCTATTAGGAAACACACTTTTGTTAAGGCTCTGTAATAACACAGCTCTGAATTGTGCATTAAAACATTTTACTGTAAATCCATTACAAATACCTGCAGTGATAACAATGTCAGAATCAGGTCAAATTAATGTACTTTCTTACTTTATTTGAGGACATCATCTATGTACTTTTTTGGCATTATATATAAAAAGATTTTCATTAGATGCAACTTTCCTGCCAACACAAGCTCTGTGTATGAGATTTTAAAGCTGTTTCTAAATTGGGGCAATTTTTGTTCATAAGAAATGAAAGTTTAGGGGATTTCCGTTGAAGGTGTGGCTTTTAAATGTTCTCCACCTCTAAAATAGCTATTTCCACAGTCTGAGTCTGTCTTCCAAGAGGTAAGCATCGCATTTCTTCACACTAACTATCAAAATCGAAGAAAATGTATCTGCTTTATGCAAAACTTCTGTTCCTTTTCTCTAGATTTAAACATGTGGGCAGAGAATGATTTGCACCCAGCTGTGCCCTGTCTTGAAAGCTACTCGGAGCCTTTGGCTGGTAAAACATATTTAATGTATCACGGGACCACTCGAAATGCCTTGCAGCAGATTATCAAATATGGCTTTCAGCCATCTGCAGACGGGATGCTTGGACGTGGCGTTTATCTCAGCCGGGATCTTAACAAAGCCAGCAGATACCCTATTAACTGGCCTGTGCATGATAAGGTTGTTGTTAGAGTGCTTGTCGATGTTGGAAGAGTAAAAAAAATCGACCATCAACGTCATCCGATGCAGAAAATGTGGCACGATCATGGGTACGACACTGCCTGGTGCCCTCCAAACTGTGGCATGGTGTCCAGCGGCCTTGAGGAAGATTGTGTTTGGGATCCACGTCGAATTCAGATCATTGATGTCATTTATCCAAAAGTGCAGCATGCGGCGGCTTATTATTAAAAAAAGGGGGACAGTTGCTAGTATACTGGTTCTTTACTGAAAAAGAGGCAAGATTTGGGTCTTCTCATCAACATTATACCCTTTCTGCACCTGTCCGATAATTGATTCAATGGTTTAGTCTGTATACACTGATATTTTGACTGTTGACTTTTTAAATAGTTTGATGTGATATTTTTTCTGTATAGGTAAATTACAGAACTGTAAAAAATGGCTGGGTTCCACACAATTCCTTCATGTTGTCTCAACACAAATTGATTAGGTTAACGTTACTGTTTTTACAAATTTAAGTGGATTAAACCGGGGTGGACCAGGTATGGGGCCCTAGCACATAATCTCAAAAACACTCTCTCTCGCTCTTTCTCTCTCTCTCTCTCTCTCTCTCTCTCTCTCTCTCTTGTTATATATATTCATATAGGGTTTTATTTTGCAAATAAACTGCATGCTAAAATATATATTTTAAGATTTCAAGTAGAACCTTCTTAATGTAAAATTAAATACAATAAATTTGCAAAAAAAAACAAAAAAAAAACAAGCTCTCACAAACCATCTGCAGTTATTTATCCATACTTGTGATTATTTGCATGTGCAGTAAGGGAAGGAACATTCCACTATTAATAGCGGGTCCCAGTTTAGAAAAAAGTAATAACGTTAAAATCTTAATGGTTATAGACAGATTTTACAATATATGATAGAACAATAAAAGAGCTATAGGATAATTAACATACGTTTCTTTGGACTGGTCAGGCCCCATGTCTTAAGGGTCCCTAAGCCACTGCTTACCTTGCTTATTGGGCAAGTCCACCTCTGGATTGAACTTAAAGCAGTTAAGTTGTCCCCAAAAAAACTCAATGAATTGTGTTGATTCTGCTCATTTTAATTAAGTAGTTTAAAAATGCAGCAAAAATACCCCCCCAGTATCGTCTGTGCTTTTCCTGTTATCTGTATATCTATTGTTTGGCTTACATTAAAGTTCAAAACTGCAAACAGATTATCTGTCTCTCCTCATCCTCATTCCTGTTACCAGATATAGCAATAATATGAAAAAATCTTATTTTATTCTTCACTCTAAACTGGGAAACAACATCTTCTCTTTTATTGTTGTAGAAATGACTTTGCACATACCTGCCAACTTCTTTGATTTGTTTCTTTTCCTCGCTCAGGTCTTTCCTCCTTATACATGTTTCTATTTAAGCTATAAGCTGTCACTCCTCGGGGATATGGAACATCCTCACATTAGAACTAAACTACATCTATTAACCATAATAGGCCCTTTTGCAGCTCATGTGCTCAATTTCAAATACATAATCAAATACATGCTGTAGTCTTTTGCATTAAATTTAAATATTGCATTAAATATATATATATATATATATATATAACACAAAAGATATTTATGTGAAATTTTGTGAAATATACATTTTTATTACATTCATTACACTCTCAGCCACTATACGTTTTACCATATAATACCAACAATTTAACTATTAAATTTAATAATTTAATAAATATTTGATAGATTCATGCAATGTTTTGTTTTCTGGATCAAAAACATATCACAAATTTATGGAATTAATTTTCCATTGAATCCAGAGACATGTTTATTGGGCAATTATACAAATTCTAACCTCCAGCATAATTATGCCAATAAGCTTACTGAAATGTTACTGACAATAGCTAAAAAATGTATTGCTTTAAAATGGAAAACAGACAATGATGTACCAATTGGACTGTAGATCTCAGACGTTTGCAACTGTAAACCATTGGAGAAGATCACATACAGTATTGAAGGGAGGACGATGAATTATTTATAAATATTTGGAATCCATTTTTTGAATTATATTAAAACAGTACCACATGATTTGATTTGACAAAATAGTTTTTCTCCATTGCTTCATTCCATATCCCCTCCCCTTTTATTAAGTTATTTTTTTTTTTATTTTTTTTATTTCAATATAGTATTTTTATACATGTTTTACTTCAGTTGGTTTGCTGCTTAGTTTTGATGTTCGGCATTGTTAACTTTTGAAAAAGCAAAATAAAAATATTCAATTAAAAAATGCAATTATTAAAAGAACTGTATAAATTCCCAGTTGTCCCGGTTTATTTGCTTGTTTCCACATTTCTGTTGACCTGTATGATTTTAACTCTTTTTGAAAAATTCTTTTTGGCTCTACCTTTATTAAACATTTTCTTTTAACGACTGTTTAGTCCACTCCACCAAATCAAAGGGCTTTCATAACCAGTAACATTGATGCAAACTTTATCAACTTTACTTCAGGGCAACTTCAGGACACATTTGCAAACCTTTGAACCACATGTCTAAGCAATTATAAGACTGAAAACGTTTGATTTGTTATCACAAGAATGCTATGGGCTGGCTGAGAAATGAAACTTAATTTATGAAGTCTGATTGTGTTTCAGATATGCTCACACTCCGATATTGTTAGCATTATTTTACAGTATACAGTGACAATTTGATGCTAAAATTACATTACTTAAAGCGCACACCGCCTGATACCATGCATCAATCATTTTGCAAATACCTACAACATCCATTAACCGGCCACTTTATTAGGTACACCTGTACAACTGCTCGATAATGCAAATTTCTGACATCCAAATATCGTCTGGGCACTAAATGCAATGCTGACACCGTGTAAACCGAGTAAGCCCCACAAAGTTAACAATAATGAGTATTTTATATTGGTGGTTTTCTTGTATTGACTGATGCTGTTTGAATTATATCAGGCAAGCTGTATTTATTAATGATTAACCTGACATGTTCAAACATCTTGAGTCACAGCTGTTTAAGCAAATGAAGGACTTCCAGTGAAACAGCTCTGTAAACCAGAAACAAAAACTCAAATGTGACTATTTTGACCTCACCATTGACTGAACATAATCTAAATTAAAACAACTAATTATTATTATATTGATTACATTAGCTGAAACTATTAGAAATATACCATTTAGCATTCAATATTTACAGTTTATGTACAATCAAGTTTAACACCATTCTCTCTGGTTTTTAACTTCAAACCAGTATCTATAGTGTATAATTGTCTTTTTATGTTTATATTTTTAGGAAACAAATGAAAAGTTGATTTGTAAAACAAATAACTGCATTTTTGTACACATGTTTGTTCATAAATCATGTTTTTTTAATTAACTTTACTGCACAATAAAACTATATGATTTGTTACAAATAATACAAGTTATTATCTGTAATGCAAATGAACTCTTTAAACAATGTGTTGATTTGTCAGGAAATGAAACCTAACTCAGTAGAGAAACTTTAGCCATGGCCCCACCCTAACAGATGTGCATTTATTTCAGCTCTCACAAGAAAGCAAACAGCTTTAGAAGCAACATCAGAGGTAAGGCTTTTGCTTGGTAAAAATCTTGTCTCTTTTGGTCATTTATAAATTATTGAAAAATCCTATAATAATTAATGAAATGGTTGTACTGTTATACTAATATTACTAAAGTCTTCTTGTGTTTCATGACAGCAGTCATGCTATTAGTCAATACAAAATGATGCAGTTCTTTGCCACTGTCATTCTTGAATGTTTAAAGCCCATTATTTGTAAATTACCATTTGTCTTAAGATACTTCTGTGTCGGCTTCTGGATTACGATACATGCTGCTAATCTTGCTAATGCATGCTAAGGCTGATTCAGCCATCTGCTAATCTTTTTAAAGAAAACTGTTTAGTCATTTTACCCCTGACTTTTAATAAAGGATCATCCAACTGTCCTGTTTACTTGTTTCTGTTCACAAACCTCTTAAAACCCCACCTCCGAGCATTATAACTCTGACAGTGTAACAAATTAAGAGTATATATGTTATCAGTCAAAAAAAAAAAAACAAAAAAAAAAAACAAATGAGGATTTTACTCACTCTTATGCTTCTTTTTTTATTTCTTAAAATAATTGGTTAAAAGTTTGTCCAAGACATTTGTTTATAGCTCAATTTGTCATCTTAGAGGTACTGTAGAGGTATATACCCTAACGGTGAATAATTAGTCAAAGGTTGTCAAAAACAAACCAGTTTTTCTCCTTATCAACTTCCTTCACAATCCCTGTTAATCCCAAATGTGTGTTTATATTACTGCTTGAAAAAGATTAATTTTGTTTAATTGCCTCCGAAATAAAAGTTTGTTTTGACATAATATATGTGTATATTATAATTTATATATATTTATAAAACTTGTATCATGTACATATATTCTATTATTTCACTCAAATATATGCATGCATATGTGCATATAGTGTTTCTATAAACATAACAAATATTCACAGTACACTCACAAACATTATGTCAAAACTGAATTTTATTTCAGATTCATTTTTGGCATGCAGTAGTTTACATATATAATTTTTTTTTGTCATTAGGTGGAACCATGTGGACAGAGAGTGACTTGGATCCAGGTGTGCCGTGCCTTCAAAGCAGTACAGTGCCTGAGGATGGTAAAGTATACCGAATGTATCATGGAACCACTAAAACAGCAGCAGAAAAGATCAGAATCCAAGGCTTTCGGGCATCTGCAGACGGCATGCTTGGACCTGGCGTCTACCTCAGTCGAGATCTTAACAAGGCCAGCAGATACCCTCTTGATAATCCCAAAGAGAGAGTTGTTATTAGAGTAAAGGTAAATGTTGGAAGAGTGAAGAGGATTGACCGCCAACATCATCCACTGCAGAAAACCTGGCACGCTGAAGGGTACGACACTGCCTGGTGCCCTCCAGACTGTGGCATGGTCACCAGCGGCCTTGAGGAAGATTGTGTTTGGGATCCAAAACGAATCACAATCATTGATATAATTCCTCCAAGCCCTCAAAACATTTCCAAAATTAATCCAGAGGATCCGGTAGAAGGTAAAGAGTATACAATGTTTCATGGCACATCAATAGAGAATGCAGAGAAAATCAAAGCCCATGGATTTAGCCAGTCAAAACGAGGTATACTTGGGCGTGGCGTTTACCTCAGTCGAGATCCAGAAAAAGCCTTTAATGCCCCTACGCATGTTACTAAACTTCAGAGAACTGTGCTGAGAGTGAAGGTCAATGTTGGGAGAGTGATAAAGATTGATCGCCAAGGTCATCCACTGCAGAAAACCTGGCACTGCAAAGGGTATGACACTGCCTGGTACCTTCCAGACTGTGGACTGGTGAACAATGGTCTTGAAAAAGACTGTGTTAGGGATCCAAGACGAATCACTGTCATTGATATAATTCCTCCAAGCCTTCGAAGTATCATACCACATGATCTAGAAGGTAAAGACTTAATGTTTTATGGGATTTTTTTTTTAAATAAAAATAGTTATGACTATAAAATAAATTAATTAAAACATATTGCTTGGGTCACATTTAGTTCATGTCCATTTTCGAACAGCTAGTGGTTTAGTCTTTGTATGTCATGAACTAATTTGAAATGTTTATTGTTATAGTTATTTGCGCTATAGGGAGGGTCAATTCACATGAATCATGTCTTTGTAGTTTTCATCTCAGTTTAGTTTTGTAAATCTGTAGGTTACAATGAGGGATATCGACATACTGCAACTGAAGAAAACGCTTGCAAATAGAAAAACACAAACAAATCATGAAAACATCTTCTTTAGTTTGAAAACACATGTGCTGCAAATACTCACAATACATCCAAAGCCAGAAATGAGCTGTTCATGAGAATATCAAATATTCATGAGATAACCAAATACAGGAATGGGGTGCAAATTATCACAACACAACCTGTACTTTACTTAATGTGCTGTTACTTACTAACTGTAAAGTTCTGAGAATAATGACAGATTACATTACCTGTATTTCTAAATAATATCCTGTCATAGCATTTTTATCAGACTCGCAGATCAAGAAACAAAATCTTCAAAATCAGCAAAATTAGCTTTGGTAAAAGGCTTAATTCTTTGTAAAGCAGTTGATATAACTGATTGAAAGCTTTGAAATGCAGTTTCTCACATGAGTATCTCTTTTCCGCTGTTCCCAAACTTAAATATGAATCCAATTTGTTTGTATTTTAAGGTTTAACCATGTGGAAAGAGAGTGACTTGGATCCAGATGTGCCATTTCTCCAAAGCAGTACAGAGCCTAAGAATGGTAAAATATACCGAATGTATCATGGGACCACTAAAACAGCAGCAGAACAGATCAGAATCCAAGGCTTTCGGCCATCTGCAGATGGAATGCTTGGACGTGGCGTCTACCTCAGTCGAGATCTTAACAAGGCCAGCAGATACCCTCTTGATAAACCCAAAGAGAGAGTTGTTATTAGAGTAAAGGTAAATGTTGGGAAAGTGAAGAAGATTGACTATCAAGATCATCCACTGCAGAAAACCTGGCACGCTGAAGGGTACGACACTGCCTGGTGCCCTCCAAACTGTGGTATGGTGTCCAGCGGCCTTGAGGAAGATTGTGTTTGGGATCCAAAACGAATCACAATCATTGATATAATTCCTCCAAGCCTTCAAAACAGTATTCCAGAGGATCCAGTAGAAGGCAAAGAATATACAATGTTTCACGGCACATCAAAAGAGAATGCAGAGATAATCAAAGCCCATGGATTTAGTCGGTCGAAAAAGGGCATACTTGGACGTGGAGTTTACCTCAGTCGTGATCCAGAAACGGCATTTAGCACCCTTACGCACTTGACCATACTAGAGAGAAGTGTTCTGAGAGTGAAAGTCAATGTTGGGAGAGTGATAAAGATTGCCTATCACTGTCATCCACTGCAGAAAACCTGGCACTGCAAAGGGTACGACACTGCCTGGTTCCCTCCAAACTGTGGCATGTTGAATAATGGTCTTGGTAAAGACTGTGTTAGGGATCCGACAAGAATCACAGTTATTGATGTAATCCGTCCAGTTTGAACAGTCTATAATAATAAAGAATAATGAATATTTTTTGTGCTATTCCATATTTCTCTTTGCACCGAAATCATTTAGTTTCCACTGTCACCTGTTTTAATGAGATTAAGGAATGGTTGGTGGGAAAATTTTTTCTACACTTGAATAAATCAAAAACTGAAGTGCTAGTGTTTGGCAATAACACTGAAGTGTTATTTTTGACACTGAGTTAAAGTTTGACTAGCTAATAAATTCTGTCATCAAAAGTGTTTTTTTATCAATTAAGGAACACCAAATTGAAGCCTTTTCTGTCTTTTAAGAAGTTGGAAACCATCATCAATGTTTTTATTATATCCTGATTGGACTACTGCAACTCTGGAGTATGTATTCTGTATTCTGGAGTTTCGCAGTCTTAAATTGTACACCTGCAGCTGGTTCAAAATGTAGCTGCTAGGCTTTTACTGAGACAAAAAAAAAAAAATCTAGTATCTTGCCAGTTTTATCATCCCTTCACTGGCTCCCAGTCCAATTTAGTGTTTAATACAAGTTATTGTTATTTGTTTTTAAAGGTTTGAATGGTCTGGCACCTACTTACTTGATGAGCTTCTTCACTGGCACACTTCATTGAGGCCAATTAGGTCGGAAAAGTAGTTACAGCTATAGTTGTTCCCAAATCATGGTTAAAATCAAAATGTGACAGGGATTTTTCTTTCACAGCCCCTCGTCTGTGGAATGGTCTGCCTTTACATATCAGGTCATGCTCTTACCTTGGTGCGTTTAAGTTTTATTTAAAAAATCACTTTCTGTCTCTTGCTTTTCAATTGCAATTACTTAATTTTAATCTGTTTTACATATTTTGTTTATATATACAAGTACAGATTTTGTATGTTGGTTGTTTTGTAAAGCACTTTGGTCAACATTTGTTGTTTTTAAATGTGCTTTATAAATAAAGCAAACAAACAAACAAACCTCACAGCAAGAAGGTCTCTGTTTTGAGTCTCAGCTGGGCCAGTTGGCATTTCTGTGTGGAGTTTGCATGTTCTCCCTGTGTTCGTGTGTGTTTCCTCTGATCCACTAGTTTCCTCCACAGTCCAAAGACATGTATTTATATAATACATGAATTTATATATATGAATTTATATAAACTAAATTGACTGTAGTGTGTGAATATGTGTGTAAATAAGAGATTATATGGGTGTTTCCCAGTTCTAGGGGTTCAGGAGTTAGTGTACTCTCAGTACTGGGCTGAAGCTGGAAGGGGATCAGCTGCATACATGTGCCAGAGAAATTGGCGGTTCATTCTGCTGTGGTGACCCTTGATAAATCAGGCACTAAGCCAAAGGAAAGTGACTGAGCGGTTTGTCACAATTTTCACAAGCAATTGATACATTTTCAAGACATTTACAACAGATCAACGAATATTAATTATGTCTATAGAATTTCAACTTGTCTGATAATTTGTAAGTTGCTACAAGAGCTTTCAGTCAAGAAATATTAATTACTACAGTAAATACTTTTTTTCTTGCACATGTAAATGACTCAATGTGCTATTTGATTACACTTTCCTGTTGTATCATTTTTTTAAATGTAGTTTTTGTCAGTTTGCCTACATAAGCGTGTTCTTGTGATGCCTGATACAGTTTTAAAGTATTTGTTCAGCACAGAGGTCTGTTTGCTACAGAATGAACTGATTGTTAAAAGTAGCATTCTTAGATAAAAAAAGTTATACTGTTGTGTTTTTGTTATTAAACCAAATGTTTTCAATACATGATTTTCCCGCGCCACTGCAATGAAAACATGACATCAGGTTTTAAAAGCATCAGGTTTTAAAAGAATGACTATAGTGGCATGCAGTTGTGTGATCTGTTTAAAGTTTTGATCTTAACAGTACAGCTTACTTATGAAATCAATGACTGTATAAAATAGGAAACATTACCAAACGTATTAGCTACTTAATTTCCGCTGTCGCCACTGCCTCGCATGGTTCAGGATTGGTAGAGCTACGCATCGATGAATTTGTAGGGATGGCTGACGTGAAACTGACGTTTCGACACAGTGTCGAGATCCCGAAGCGCAAGTGTTTCGAAACACTGTACCGAAGCATGAGCCGAAACACCCAGGTCACGTGACTAAAGTGTTTCGAAACACTTGGTCACGTGACAAAAGCGATTCAAAGCATTGATCATTTCAGAGGCGTTTCAAGACCCGGAGAATCTGCATTTCACTGGCATTATCTTTGGTCAGTTTTCGACTTGTATGGTTCAGTGGACCGTTCGTGTGCACTTTGGAACTGTTATTCGAATTTATTTTGGGTTCGAATCTCGACTATTACAAATACTCCAAAATCATGATTTTATGAATTTTAATCATGTTACTGTTTTATGGTGTAGCCTAGATAGGATACAGCTGCGGATACACTATCAATTTAGCATCATTTTTGTAACACTGTAAAACAATAATTCATATTTTTACAGTACTGTGATGGGTTTAGGTTTTGGATAGACATTAATAAAATACAATAGGAAATTTAATTAATAATATAAATAATTATTGTTAACTTCTGGCCACAACTGTATCTGATCTAGTAACAACCCTGTTATATGAACAAAATACTAATTTATTTACAAATGTTTATTCGTATGTCAGAGCAATGTTGAAACAAAACGATACAAGCATTACCAACTGGTATTAATGCATTTCAACACACTAGTGATAGTCTGGATTCCAACCCATTTTTCCCGCATGGTAGTCACGTACTCTAACCGCTCGACTAAACCATCTGATGGTTCGAGGCTACAAAGTGAAGTTTGATACATCAATTTGCTCAACTGTTCTTTGCTGAAGCTGTTTCAGTGAAATACAAATAAAATGACCACTAGGTGTCACCGTAGAGTGGTGTTTCGAAACGTTTCGAAGCTTCGACACATTTGCTTCGATAGTTTCAGTGTTTCACGAAGCCTCGCTTTGCCCACCACTATGAATTTGCTCTTCAGTGCTTGAACTCTCAGTTATGATTAAATCACACTGAACTGAGCTAAACTGAACTGAACTGAACTTTAACACTAAAACCTGAACCACACTGTTCCAGTTACTGAACCACACTGTTCCAGTTACTATGACCATTTATGTGAAGCTGCTTTGACACAATCTACATTGTAAAAGCGCTATACAAATAAAGCTGAATTGAATTGAATTGAATTAATGGGTGGTTTTATGAATGATTTCGTTGGCTAACCGCCGTGTGACGTCGCTTGTTACTGATGATTGACAGTATGGAAGGCCAATGGCAATGATCTAAGAAAGAAAGCGAAAGCGAGACTGACAGAGAGAGAGAAAAATGTTCACGCAACAGCGGACATCCGAAAAATCGCACTGAAATAGTCAATATGTTTATAATTATATGACAGCATAAATCCACAAATACGTTCAGGTGACGGAGAGAGAAATATTTAAACGCCAGGAGTCTCACTTCTTCCATATGTGTACTCTTTCACATTGTTTAGAGACGAGCTCGAACTGAAGATTTAATTGGCTGGGAACTGTCACGTCCAATAAATCGAACGTTTTGATTGGTTTTGATCCTCTCGGTATTATGCGACAATCTCTTGAGGTGAGCTCCTATTTTTCTTTCAAAGCAAAAGGTAGTCTTGAAAACGAGTCAAATACCAGCACGACGTATTCTTGTGTTTGCCAACAGTTACAGTGTTGACGTTTTGTAAAAACGGCTTAAGTAATTTCTCTTAAACAAGTTACACAAAAAGATTGTCAAAGACCTTACATTTGAGCCATGCGTGTTTTCTTTTTAATTTATTTACAACAGTGCCCATCATAATCGAGTATACATTTCCATCAAACGGCCATCTTTCTTAAAAATAGATATTTGGTAAATTTTTTGATTTGATTATTGATTAGATTAGATTAAAACACAGTCAAACACAAAACACAAAAACATCATTATGGTGCAAGAGCTAGCTTATACACCAATACGTCAGGAGGAAATGTAATAAAATAATAGACAGGTGAAACCTATCAATTTTGTTGTTGTTGGATTTAATGTGTGGTGTAAAAGATCGATTAACTTTAGTATTACTAAAATATTAATTCCTATAAACTTATTTGACTAGCTAGAAACATCTTGTTAATAAACAATTCCTTCATAGACAAGATATTACAATAAGAAGGGTCATTCAGAGGGTGATGTGCTTTAGACATGTATTCAAATGTAAATTATGTGAATCTCATATGATCCTTACAGAAGGAGAATAATAGTGGCATAGTTTCCTATTGAAGAAAACATATGATACATTTTTTTATGACCGACAGGATGTGTATGTTGAATGTGGTAAAACCAAGTCAATGTCCCTTTATTTAATGAATTTTATATCCCCTGTATTTAATAGTCTTTGACCAAGTCCAGTAGAGGGAGGAATGTCCCAAAGGAGCTTTTTTGTTATGTTAATACAATTTTGTTATATCATTTTTTGTTATATTTTTGTTACTTATTTTAATGTTAGGTGACCACATTCTTATTTTAATGAACAAAACTGTTCAGTAAAACTGTTAGAATGCATCAATATAGAAATGGATAAATATATTAATTTTACTCCATTATCCTGGGCACTGTGTGTGTTAGATAAATTTCTTTAAATATAATTTATTTTTAACAAAGCTTGTAGCTTAGTATTATTACCTTGGTACTTTTTTTCTGTGCATATTTTAAAGATGTTCTGATTGTATTTGTGATGTGCAGCTGAAAACATGTCTGGTGGAGATGGGTCAGCTTTTCTCCAAATCAACACAGATCTAAAATCAGGTCAGGTCTACACAATGTACCATGGCACATCCATGGAGGCTGCAAAGAAAATCAAAGTTAACGGTTTTCAGCAGTCTTCTCAAGGCATGCTTGGACGTGGCGTCTACCTCAGCCGAGATCTAGAGAAGGCCTCCAGATACCCACTGAATCTGCAAGCATTCCAGAAAGTGGTTCTGAAAGTGAAGGTCAATGTTGGGAAAGTAAAGAGGATTAACCTCCAAGGTCATCCTTTGCAGACACCCTGGCATGATCAAGGGTACGACACTGCCTGGTGCCCTCCAAACTGTGGCATGGTGCCAAGCGGCCTTGAAGAAGATTGTGTTTGGGATCCAAAACGTATCCAGGTCATTGAAATTATCTACCCATTTTTAGAGTTTGTTTTACCGTTCCTTTTCATTTTGTTACTATTCCTAATCGAAATACTGACATAAAACCCACATTATAAAGGTTACTGGATGATGTAACCAAATTGTTTTGTTCAGAAAAAAATATTGCTCATGATCAGTGTTGTTTTGTGTATTAAATTTGTAAAGAGAAAGTATCCTCTTTCCTTGAGCTTTGGGGTGTTTTAACTAACTTAAATATCTGCTGTCAATTTGATGTCTAGGGGATGGTAAGAAAAAAAACTTTTGAAAACATTTAACTTATTTTGTTTGTATTTTTTAGTATATATATATATTTTACCACACATGGACTTTATTTGTTGATTTGTACTAATGTTTAATATGTTAAATAGGACTATATTTAAATAAAAAATAATATTAAACTCAACCATGATTAATGCACAAATCATTTTATCAATCTTTGCTGTGGAAATTGAAAATATACAATTTTAGAATATATAAAAGTAACAATATAAAAATGTCAAATTGCTCAGTAACACTTTATTTTGATGGTCTGTTTGTTGAATTTAATTACATTGCATCTACAGTTGAAATCAGAATTACAAGCCCCCCTTTGATTTATTTTTTTCCCTTTTTAAATATTTCCTAAATGATGTTGAACAGATCAAGAAAATTTTCATAGTATGTCTAATAATATTTTTTCTTCTGGAGAAAGTCTTATTTGTTTTATTCTGGATACAAAAAAAAAGCAGTTTTTAATTTTTTAAAAACCATTTTAAGGTCAAAATTATTAGCCCCTTCAAGCTATATATTTTTTCAATAGTCTACAGAACAAACCATCGTTATACAATAACCTGCCTAATTACCCTAACGTGCCTAGTTAACCTAATTATAGTAGCTAAGCCTTTAAATTATTTTATTATTAAATCACTTTAAGCTGTATAAAAGTGTCTTGAAAATATCTAGTCAAATATTATTTACTGTCATAATGGCAAAGATAAATCAGTTATTAGAAGTTAGTTAATAAAACTACTATGATTAAAATGTGTTGAAAAAATCTTCTCTCTTAAACAGAAGTTGGGGGAAAATAAACAGGGCTAATAATTCAGGGGTCTCATACTTCCGACTTCAACTGTACATGCCAACTAATTCTTATTAGATTATAAACTGTTAGGTTGGGGTTAGGGCTAGATAAGTTGACATGTCCTTTCAAAGTTTCTTATAATCAGTTAAATGTCAGTTGAGTAAGCATATCAACAGATATTAAGCAGACAGTCAACCAATTGCTCATGCTTGTGTGTTCAGGTCACCGTCACCATTTCAGACTCCAGCAGTCACAGTGCGTTTCTGATATAGTGTGGTGCATTGTTTGCAAAGATAATATTGTAAAAAAGAAACAACATTTTACTTTTTTTTTATCTGAATGAAATGTAAAATAAAACAAGAGCCCCATTTAGTAAATAATCTTTATATTTGAACATAGGTCTAAAGTGAAAGAAATTTGAATAGTGCACCATCAGTTCCATCACGTTCACAAATCATAGGCTTCTTTTATTTCAGACTGGCTTGTAGTCATAGTATGTTAAAAGTGAAAACCATCCTCTTTTTATTCAATGCTACCCCTTCCCTCAGGATATCAGTATAGGGTCCCTTTAGCAAGGACCAACAGATTTACATTTTAATTTTAATGAGAGAAGGCTAGTTGCTGTTTTTACTACTATCAATGTTGTTTATTGTTTGTCTTATATGTTGTATATTATATATATATATATCGTAAATCTATTACGTGGCAGTACAAATCGCCCCAAAAGAGAACAATAAAGCTTACAGTTACAGTAAGGAAACCCCCGCTTTTACAATATCCTTTACAACACACCAATAAACACATGATAACGGTTAATAAAGAGAAACAGACAGTTCAATATGAGGGCGCTTCCTGAAGACACTGCTTGCTGCAGAGCCACTTGGGCTTCAATAAAGGGGGAGCTTGAGCTCCAACTCCTCCTCCTATAAGCTGTTTTAATGCGTACATCCACCCCCACCCCTAACCTCAACCCCTAGTGACATCACTTGTAGAAGAAGTGCAAGGAATGAGGAGCTGGAGCTCAAGCTCCCCCTTGCTGGAGCTCAGCTCTGCCCAAGTGGCTCTGCAGTGAGCATCACTTGGATGAATAACCTGCTTTGTCTGCGTTCAGTGGAAAGCTCATTAGAGGTAAGTCACCATTTTGTTAATGCTATACTCTTGCTTACAAGACAAAATATGTAATTTTTTTTACTTGGAAAAACTATTATTGAATTAATATTATTTATGCACTCGAATAAACTTTTACGCCTCTTGGCACACTTTTGGCTTGTCGAGAAACAAACACGTTTTACCAGACAATTTGCATTTATTCATTTAACAAATATTTTTAGTTCAAAACAATTTTATATCAAAGAGCCAATAACGTGAATAGGGCTAACTATTGTTTCAAACTATTGGTTTGAACTGACTGGACCACTTCCAGTTCAGCCAATATGTCACCCTGGACCACAAACTCAGTCATAATGAATCAAACTTTCCAATTATGTATGGTTCATTATAGGGCAACTTTTGATCATGATACAACTATTGAAAATCTTGAATCTGGAATTACTAAAAAATCTAAACATTAAGAAAACTGTCTTTTAAGTTGTCTAAATTTAGTTCAATGAAGTATTGCAATTTATTACAAAATATATGTACAGTATGAAAGTTACAAAATGTCTGCATGGAACAAGATACTCATCATTTTGACCAATACAATGTATTTTGGGTTATTGCCAAAAACTATACCAGTGCAACATAAGAGTAACATATTTCTAAATGTATTAAAGCGTAACACAGCTTTTTGCAGTCTATAGGTATTTAGGTCAGATGGTTTATTAGCAAAATGCTTGCAGCAATTGTTAAATGAAAATAATAATGAATATTTGAAGTAATCAAAATACTGAAAAACAAATATAATATACCTAAACTTTTCTCAAGTATATTTAAGTAAAACTTAAAATATTTCAAGAAGTAAAAGAAGTTTACAAAATATACCTATAGATGCTTTTTGTGTAAAATACTGAAAGTTTATTGAGCACTTTCTGATTAAGTTTAAATTTTTTTAGACGTCTTTTCACAGCAATAAAAGCAACATCTGAGGCAAGTCACCTATTTTTTTAAAGCAACTTTTTGTCCATTATACGTTTTTAAAATACATCTTCATAACTTGATTTGTTTATCATTATATAACCCTCATTAATATTCATTAATATGCTAAGATTAATTGTGATTCAGGTGCAAACATGACAACTGAAACAGACTCGGGTCCGGCTGTTCCACCATGTCTTGAGAGCTGTACGGCACCAGAAGAAGGAAAAGACTACATCATGTACCATGGCACTTCCATTAAAGCTGCCATGAACATTTTTTCAGAGGGTTTCCTTCAGTCCGAAGATGGCATGCTTGGACGTGGCGTCTACCTCAGCCGGGACCTGCAGAAGGCTTCCAGATACCCTCTGGATCTGCCTGAGAAAGAGAGAGTGGTTCTGAAAGTGAAGGTTAATGTTGGGAGAGTGAAGATTGTTGATCACCAAGATCATACCCTGAAGAAAACCTGGCATGATCATGGGTACGACACTGCCTGGTGCCCTCCAAACTGTGGCATGGTGTCCAGCGGTCTTGAAGAAGACTGTGTTTGGGATCCGAAACAAATCACAGTCGTCGATATGATTCTTTCAAAGGAGTTGGATCAGACTTGTGTCATCCTCTAAGCTGTTAAATCCTGTTGAAAATAAAACAAGATGCAATGAAATTAAAATGTATGTTCTGATCCTTAGACACATAAATTGATATGATTAATGTAGTTTGAACATGTTTATTTGACCCTTTCTGTATTTAAAAGTTACTCAGATTTTAGAGTGTACTCAACAGTAGTGTGTGAAATGGCTCAGCAAGTGACTCATACAATATTCATTATTTTAGCAAATTATAATATCCAAATAAACTTTTAAATGAGTTTCAGGGGGAATAATAATCTGTGTAAAAAGTGTTATTGAGTTATTTTAGTGTTATTTGCATCCACAAGTAGGTGTATATTTTCAGTATTATTTTTACATGAAAGAACATACTCAGGCGACACAGTGGCACAGTGGGTAGCACGTTCGCCTCACAGCAAGAAGGTAGCCTTGTCGCTGTCGATCCTCGGCTCAGTTGGCATTTCTGTGTGGGGTTTGCATGTTCTCCCTGCGTTTGCATGGGTTTCCTCCGGGTGCTCCGGTTTCCCCCCACAGTCCAAAGACGTGGTACAGGTGAATTGGGTAGGCTAAATCGTCCGTAGTGTATGTGTGGATGTTTCCCAGAGATGGGTTGCGCCTGGCAGGGCATCTGCTGCGTAAAAACTTGCTGGATAAGTTAGCGGTTCATTCCGCTGTGGCAGCCCCAGATTAATAAAGGGACTAAGCCGACAAGAAAATGAATGAACATCCTCAATCACCACTAGTATTTTCTGGTTATGTTTTTCCAGGAAAACTGCCTTTTTCAATTTTTTGTCTGTTTTTGCAAAGCTGTATTTGCTTGTTTTGTTCAAAAAATGTTAACATGGTAAACACAAATCATTTATTTCACCCACAGATATACTGTACTTTTAGAATGACATACTGTAAATAGACAAACATATTTTCTGTGTAATCATTTTAAACATTTACATAAAAACAGAAACTGAAAGCTTTTGCTAAAGTAATACTTCCTGTATCCGTTGTGGGCACACCCTGAATGAACTGCTGAAAAACTGCTTTCAGAGGTTTTACATTCAGTTGTAGCAGCAACAGCAGAGGTAAGCCACACTGTTTATATTAAACAGTTTTTGTTTTAACCTGACCTAAAAAATGAATATTTGAAGTAATCAAAATACTAAAAAACAAATATAATATACCTAAACTTTTCTCAAGTATATTTAAGTAAAACTTAAAGTATTTCAAGAAGTAAAAGAAGTTTACAAAATATACCTGTAGATGCTTTTTGTGTAAAATACTGAAAGTTTATTGAGCACTTTCTGATTAAGTAAAAATTTTTTTAGACGTCTTTCAACAGCAATAAAAGCAACATCTGAGGCAAGTCACCTATTTTTTTTAAAGCAACTTTTTGTCCATTATACGTTTTTAAAGTACATCTTCATAACTTGATTTGTTTATCATTATATAACCCTCATTAATATTCATTAATATGCTAAGATTAATTGTGATTCAGGTGCAAACATGACAACTGAAACAGACTCGGGTCCGGCTGTTCCACCATGTCTTGAGAGCTGTACGGCACCAGAAGAAGGAAAAGACTACATCATGTACCATGGCACTTCCATTAAAGCTGCCATGAACATTTTTTCAGAGGGTTTCCTTCAGTCCGAAGATGGCATGCTTGGATGTGGCGTCTACCTCAGCCGGGACCTGCAGAAGGCTTCCAGATACCCTCTGGATCTGCCTGAGAAAGAGAGAGTGGTTCTGAAAGTGAAGGTTAATGTTGGGAGAGTGAAGATTGTTGATCACCAAGATCATACCCTGAAGAAAACCTGGCATGATCATGGGTACGACACTGCCTGGTGCCCTCCAAACTGTGGCATGGTGTCCAGCGGTCTTGAAGAAGACTGTGTTTGGGATCCGAAACAAATCACAGTCGTCGATATGATTCTTTCAAAGGAGTTGGATCAGACTTGTGTCATCCTCTAAGCTGTTAAATCCTGTTGAAAATAAAACAAGATAGTGCTATGAAATTAAAATGTATGTTCTGATCCCTAGACACATAAATGAATATGATTAATGTAGTTTGAACATGTTTATTTGACCCTTTCTGTATTTAAAAGTTACTCAGATTTTAAAATGTCATTCACTCTTAATAAAAAAAAACACTACAGTTACAACATGAACATGTGTTTAAATACAAATCCACCCATACTTATCAGGATAAGTTAACCAATAACAGGAGCCAGCATAAACCTTTATCTTCTGGACTGTGAACTTCTGAACTTTTGTTCTGTTTTAAATATAGATACTTAAACTTTTCTATTGTACTGAAAAATTTTATAAAACCCAATTTAAATGTACTCAACAGTAGTGTACGAAATGGCTCAGCAAGTGACTCATACTATATTCATTATTTTAGCAAATTATAATATCCAAATAAACTTTCAAATGAGTTTCAAACAAGAAAAGCTTCTTAGTTCTAGTGTCCCTTCGTCACTTTAAAGCATCATAAACTTAAAAAAAGGCTAAAGCATCCTTGGCAGCATTGTGTTATTGTGTACCCATTGACCAAATAGTAATGTGAAAGAAAAAGCTCAACACACACACATCGCATAATACACAAAGATAATAATCAATAAAAATATTATAATTACTGAACGAGTTTCCAATATGGAAACTTTGATACTGGTAAGATATTTTTCTTGTTTAACTTTCTGTTAATGAAAAATATCAGGCATGTTCAAATATCCATAAGCATGAAGCTGCCTCTATCTTTTTTTCTTTTTTAAATTCTGATTTACAAAATTATACAGCAAGCTTAACATATCACAAAAATTGGACTTTTAATTAAATATGGATCAGAAGAGATCTTTTAATTCTCAGGGGGAATAATAATCTGTGTAAAAAGTGTTTTTGTGTTATTTTAGTGTTATTTGCATTCACAAAGTGTATATTTTCAGTATTATTTTTACATGAAAGAACATCCTCAGGCGACACAGTGGCACAGTGGGTAGCACGTTCGCCTCACAGCAAGAAGGTAGCTGGGTCGCTGTCGATCCTCTGCTCAGTTGGCGTTTCTGTGTGGGGTTTGCATGTTCTCCCTGCGTTTGCATGGGTTTCCTCCGGGTGCTCCGGTTTTCCCCCACAGTCCAAAGACGTGGTACAGGTGAATTGGGTAGGCTAAATTGTCCGTAGTGTATGAGTGTATGTGTGGATGTTTCCCAGAGATGGGTTGCGCCTGGCAGGGCATCTGCTGCGTAAAAACTTGCTGGATAAGTTAGCGGTTCTTTCCGCTGTGGCAGCCCCAGATTAATAAAGGGACTAAGCCGACAAGAAAATGAATGAACATCCTCAATCACCACTAGTATTTTCTGGTTAAGTTATGTTTTTCCAGCAAAACTGCCTTTTTCAATTTTTTGTCTGTTTTTGCAAAACTGTATTTGCTTGTTTTGGTTAAAAAATGTTAACATGGTAAACACAAATCATTTATTTCACCCACAGATATACTGTACTTTTAGAATGACATACTGTAAATAGACAAAAATATTTTCTGTGTAATCATTTTAAACATTTACATAAAAACAGAAACTGAAAGCTTTTGCTAAAGTAATACTTCCTGTATCCGTTGTGGGCACACCCTGAATGAACTGCTGAAAAACTGCTTTCAGAGGTTTTACATTCAGTTGTAGCAGCAACAGCAAAGGTAAGCCACACTGTTTAAATTAAACAGTTTTTGTTTTAACCTGACCTAAAATATTTATTGAAGTGCAGCACTGCTGTGATTTTAAGATAATATTCATCATTAAATGTTGAGCATGCATTGCAACAATGATGTATAACATGACATAACATTTTTCTTTCACTTTCAAATTCGGCATTAAGTGTAGCCTACTTTTACCGAAGTAAAAAGTGACATCTCATGACATGGGTTTTGTCATGTTTACCTTGTGCTTTCAGCTTCATTATGCATGCTCTCTAGATCAATAGCCCTCTATCGTTTTATGTATATTTTTTTTGTTCCAGCCTGTTGCAAACATGTGGGCTGAAGATGACTTGGGCCCTGGTGCTCCACCGTGTCTTGAGAGCTATTCAGCCCCAGTAGAAGGCAAAGTCTACATCATGTATCACGGCACATCCGAGGTGGCTGCTGAACAAATTGCTGAAGAGGGTTTTATTCAGTCCTCTAAAGGCATGCTCGGACGTGGCGTCTACCTGAGCCGAGATCTAGAAAAGGCCTCCAGATACCCTCTGAATCTGCCTGAAGACCAGAGAGTGATTGTTAGAGTGATGGTTGATGTTGGGAAAGTGAAGAAGATTGACTACCAAGGCCATCCAATGCAGAAAACCTGGCATGATCATGGGTACGACACTGCTTGGTGCCCTCCAGACTGTGGAATGGTGCCAAGCGGTCTTGAAGAAGATTGTGTTTGGGATCCAGAACGAATCACAGTCATTGATTTAATTCATCCAGAACAAAACGAAGAAGAGGAAAATGGTTGCAGACTTTTCTGAAGAGGCTGAACAGATTATACCAATATAGTTATTTGTATTTCTGATTCTAAGAATGGACATGTTAATAAATATCAATATTAAGGTGATTATGTTTCTTTGTACACTTATTTCAGTTGTCTTTAAGTTATAATATGGATGAAAGCATACATTTACAATGTCAGCATGAAAAACAAATCTGTGTGTTGTTCAAACACACTTTCTAGAAATGAATTAAGTAGATACAGTGTAGTGGATAAAATAACATCTGAACTAAATAGCCTATTTAAGAATAACTGAGGATCCTACATCTTATTAAAGTGTACAGATATAAGATACCAGTTTATTTTAGGGTGCACTGTGATCCGTAAAGATCAAAAGTTTTTTTAATGTATTCAAATCATTATTGTTTTAAACACGTGCATATTCTGGCATAAAGCTGGCACAGCAGGCATTCATCCGGCACTGACATACAGCATGTGGGCCAAACATGGCCCAGGTTTCACAGAGGTGGCACATTGGGCCAGATGTCAAATGTAGTGTTTGGCCCAAATGTTAAAAATGTATTTGTGGGCCACAGAAGTTTGGCCTATCTTGACCCACATTTAAAATACATTTAAATTATTTTTAAGTAAAGAAATAAATTTACCAATTAGGTTGCTTCAAGAAAAAAGCATGGCTATAAAGTGAAATGCTTCATAGGTTTATCAAATTCATTGCAGACGTGACACACCAACATATATGGCCCAGTTCAGGCCCAGTCATGGATTGTTAACTTGGCTGAGAGTTGTCCCATATATATGGTCCATGTTTGGCCCTTGCCTGAAAGCAAGACATGGTCCAATCATGTACTGTAAGTCACTGCAGCATGTGGCCAAGCAAAAGCTGACTGTGTAGGCCAGATCTGGGCCAGAGAAATTTTGCTATGTGGGTTATTATTTCCCTTTGAGAAGAAAAATGGAAAAATATAACTTTTTACTGAATATTTCAGTGTTTTGATACTATGTCTTTTTTATTAACTGTGCAAATCATTCAACAAATGTTTTAGTTATTTTATTTATTACCACTTAAAGTCCATATCTAAATATTTTTTAGTCTTTTGACTATTGAAGATGTTTGTGTCTCATATGCATTGAAATGCACAAATCCATGTCAATTCAAAATTAACAGTGCAGTCTATAAGCCGTATAACTAACATAGAAGCAATTTATTCCTGTTTATTTTAGACGTATCAATTTACTGTACTCTGAGGACCACACAGCCTTTTTTTGCATATCCCATACACTCTCATTCACACACATAGACTTCGAACAATTTAGTTTACCCAATTTACATGTGTTTGGACTGTGGGGGAAAACGGAGCACCGAGAGGAAACCCATGTGAACACGGAGAGAACATGCAAACTCCACACAGAAATGCCAACTGACCCAGTTGAGGCTAAAACCAGCATCATTCTTTCTGTTGGTGACAGCACTAACCACCACGCCACCACGCTGCCCCATGTAATATTTCCTATTTCCTTTTTGGACACACCCTATAAGGATGTGTTCATAGAACCATTTCCAGAAGGTCTGGAATCAGTGATAGAAGCAACGGCAGTGATACTGTAAGTCACACTTTATTTATATTAAAATATATATAGTGTTTTTATAGCTGTGGTGATCCCTGATATTTATTTATATAAATCAATTTAGCTCAAGCAAGAATACAAATTAAAATGTAAATTCTGTATTATATTATAGCTTATAGAAATAGACTTCTAAGAACTTCTTAGAATATTTTACTTGGAATTATAATTAAATATAATTTATGATATATATAATTATTATACTTGGATTTATAATGTCATCATGTATTATGGACTAAGTATTAAGGTCTCTGTTTATATATTAGATGTGTTATTAACAGTAACATGAAATTGACTGCATTGATCACTTAAATGTTTTCAAACATGAAAGCATGGCTTAATTTAGGGCTACACTGTAAAATGTACTTGGACTAGAGTATCGTGAAGTAAACTTTAAATTACTTTCATACATTAAAATTGACTTAACCTGAGTAGATAAATTTGATAACACTTTACTATTACAGTCATAAGTAACACTGTACTATTATGCATACTAAACATCACTTTAGTATGAATTAATGCTGAGTTAAAACATGAGCTAATCAATAATTATGTATAATAATTATTTAATTATGAGTCACATTGGCTACCTTGATTACTTGTTAGTACATGTTTGTTAATAATTGTATTAATTAACACTTTTGTTTTACCTGTTAACATTCCCACATTTTGAACATAGATGTGAAAATAACGTGTTCAACTTAAATGATTGTCCTAAAAGAGATCTTCAATGCTTTGGTGCTTAGATTTAAGCTTGGTCTCATTTTATAGAAGACAAATGTCAGCAAAAAATGTCAAAAAGTTATGTTCCTTTAAGTACATGAACATAATAAAACAATAACTATATATTTTATTATTAAATCAAAGCTTCATAATAAAATTAATATTATATTCAAATAAATTATATTTTAAATTTGAAACTGATATCTCCAAAAATTACCTTTTAGTAAGATTTTGTTTTGGTGCAGTACCAAACATCACCAGCAGATGATTCAATTTGTGACGATATATAAGAGCGTCCTCTATTTCTGTGTATGTTTTGAAATATGCACCATATTATTTAATATTTTTGACATTGTTTATAAAGTAGACATCAAATTCTAAAGTGTATGGGCAGTTTGGTGGTATTTGATTTGACCATTAAAAATGTAAACATGTGGATTGTTGTAACAAAGTACTGCTTTACAATTCTGATGAGCATCCTTGTAGCAAAATAAGAAATAACTGTTGCTCAGTAAAATCGATCAAAAATTAGTCACCAGATATGGAAACTAGACATTTTAAGTTTTAAAATGATGGGTTAAATGCAGAGCACAAATTTCAAGTTCTTGGCCATGTCGAAACTTTCACCTCACTTTTACTGAAGTGTCCGGGTGGCAGGATGGTGACAGTTAAGGGCTTAAACTAAATGTAACTCGCTCTATATGTGAAAGAATATTAATTAAAAGTCCAACTTGACCAACATGAACTCATGACCTGTTAATATGCCATTATGTCATGACTTTACTTGGAGGGTCACATGTTTATTAACATTCTTCACAACTCATTAACGCCTCGTAAACATTACATATTGTTTTTTTTTTCAATGTAGATACAGTTAAGATTATTTGCCTTCCAACTGCAAACATGTGGGCTGAAGATGACTTGGGTCCCACTGCTCCACCATGTCTTGAGAGTTACAGACAACCAGCGAATGGCAAAGAATACATCATGTATCACGGCACATCCAGGGTAGCTGCAGAACGAATTCTTAGAGAGGGTTTTCGTCCATCTACTAAAGGCATGCTTGGACGTGGCGTCTACCTCAGCCGAGATCTAGAGAAGGCCTCCAGATACCCTCTGAATCTGCCTGAAAACCAGAGAGTGATTATCAGAGTGAAGGTCAATGTTGGGAGAGTGAAGAGGATCGACCACCAAGGCCATCCAATGCAGAAAACCTGGCAGCGACGTTATGACACTGCCTGGTGCCCTCCTGAATGCGGCATGGTAGAAAGTGGTCTTGAAGAAGACTGTGTTCGTGATCCGAGACAAATCACTGTCATTGATTTAATTTATCCAGAACCAAAGGAAGATTGCAGAATCTTTTGAACAGATTAAATCATCAATATTATCTGCTATTATCTTTGATTGCAGTCTGTTTGAGTGTGCTGTGGAGTCATGGTTACATGTACTACTTGTTCTGATGCTAAAGGTGGGCATGTAAATAAATGTTCAGTCAAATTCAATTCAATTTATCTTTATTCCTATAGCACTTTTACAATGTAGATTGTGTCAGCGCAGACTTAACATAGAAAATTACAGTAAATTAAAAACTGTCAGTACAGTTTTCAGAGTTTAAGTTGAGTTTAGTTCAGTATGGTTTGATTTTTACTGCTGAAAGTCCAAACACTGAAGAGCAAATCCATCGATGGCAGCTCTACAAGTCTCGAACCATGCAAGTCAGTGGCGACACCGGCGAGGAACAAACTTCACCACTTAACGAAAGTAAAGGGAAAAAGCCTTAAGAAAAAAAAAGTTGGTGTGATTTTTGGAATTTTTATTTATTTTTTGGTTCTTTTTGTTCATATCAAAACACTCAGGATCAGAACATCTACAATGACAGCATAGGTAAATCTGTGTACAAAAATTACTTGGTAAATTAAACTTACTTGGTTACCTGAAAAGGTTAGGTGTGGATATAGATCATACTGACCTATGTTAAACAAATAGGTAAAACTATAGTTTAAGGAAATCTGCCCAGCAAAACACAGAAAGTTCTCACCTGGTTTCCAATTTGGTTATTTTTTGGGAATCATATACAGTAGACCAATGTTCTTAGAATGGTAACCAAAAACTCACATGAATCTCAAAATACTACACATTTTGATTTTTTTACAATGTTGTTTAATTCTAAGTGGTATGATTAGCTAGGTTATTAATGTAATATAGGTAAGGCTCTGGCGTTTTCCATTGTAATCAAATGAAGCAATTTCCTCAGGAAAAACGTCAAACATCCTTTTACAGCGACAGCCTGGGAGTTACCAAAATACATTTGGGCGATTCATGGCTAGATTCTTCCCCTCGAGCTGGTTTGCCTCTGGGTTGAAATCAGTCAGGAAAGATACACTCTCAGAAATGAAGGTACAAGAGCTGTCACTGGGACAGTAACTTTTCAAAAGGTACATATTTGTACCTAAAAAGTCCTTAGTGGTATACCTCAAAGGTACATATCAGTACCCAAATGCACCTAAAATGTACCTTTGAGGTACCAATATGGACTCTTCAGGTACAAATATGTACCTTTTGAAAAAGTACTGCCCCAGTGACAGCTCTTGTACCTTGTTGTAGCCGACGACTTTGCAACAAAACTGCAGTGAAGTTGGTGTTTTGGCCCGTGTGCAGACTGAGCACCTTAATCTTCATATATTTTAAAATGTCTACATGTTAATGTTCAATAAACTAAAACACTTGAGTTAATATTACATTAATTAGGCTATGAAGTCAATTCAAAATAGTAGGCTGCAACTTAATCACCTTATATTATTAATAAGACTTAAATACAATATAAAAGCAAAAAGTTTTTTTAGTATTATATATATCCCTTTGCCTGCTCACTCACTCACTCGGCTTGCTAACTTCTCACCCAGTCTTGCCACAGTGAAATGAACTGCCAATTACTCTGCCACATGTAAAACAAATCAATTGGGTTAATAATTAGAAATTGTATCGAATTGAAAACATTACATTTACAATGCAGGCTGTTTTTAATACAGTAGAATACAAAATAATAAAACTGTACAATCAATAAACTTCTCAAAAAGTAAATTTTTAATATGCTTAAACATTAAATCCAATAGGTTACAGTTTATTGAAACAGCTCGTTAAATTATAAAAATATATTATTTGACAGATCAATGATCAGAAAAATCATTTAAATGTAAAGTATAAAAACTCAAAAAAGAACATAATTGAGTATGAAGTTCATATCAGTGGAATATGCTTGTATTAAAAGATTGAATTTAAGCTTTCTAGTTCCTACTAACATTTTAAAATGATTAATAAAGTAATAATCATTTAGAATTCAAACAATCCTCAAATGTGTGGTGAAAATGTGTTTCTATTTTATTTCTAAAATAGTGATTTCAATTAAGAGATTTAACAGGTGTGACCAGTTACCATGGGGTGATGCAGGAGGAGGGGAGGGTGGGTTGCATCATAAGTTCTGTTATTACAGGGGCTCAGATTTAGCATGGACGAAGGTGACGTGTCTTGACCAATCCACCGACTACTGCAATGTGCACACCAAAAATTTAATTCACTAAAAAAATCATGCTGTCAACATTACCCTAGACATGCAGTAGCATACCATCCCCAAAACACATGTTCATTGTGATTGGCTGAGCCCATGCTTTCATGTGGGAGGCTGTAGCTGCGTTCAGCACCGAAACTGTGCAGGGGAATTTTCCCAAGCAAGTGACACACAAGTGAGCATGGTAGGTCATGGGTCCCCACCAATGTCAAGAGCAAACCTGCGTCTTTGTGTTATTATATACTTTTTTGCTTTAATGTTTAAATAAATTATATAAGATACACATTTTTTGTACTCTAGATAAATTTCATACAATGTATTTCCAAAACATAAAGTTGCTAATTGAAGTATTCCTGGTAACATGTTATAAAATACTATTATAAAGGAGTTACATTCTTTTTTTTTTAAATGTTTCATGATTACATAAATTTCATGTCCATGTTGATTAACATTTCATTTGGACCTAAATATCTTTAGATAAGTAACTCTTTTTCTTCTAACTTTTAATGTTTTCAGGTTATATATGCTTGTTTCTATTTGCATAAGATAAATTTATTCAAAATAATCCTTTTTTTTGTTGTTGTAATATTTGATGATTTGTGTGTGTCCCTCAGTTTCACTTAACACCACGTCACACTAACTCAATTCATCTATAAATGATGTAATTTTGTATTAAATGACATAATTAACATAAAATGGGCCCTGCACACTCCAAGACTAAAAGCAGAAAAGTATTGAAATTATCTTATATTTCTTTTTTGTGGCTTTTTTTTGTTAGTTCGTCAAACCCAATCTCAACCCATCGTCACAAAAAAATATAGTAAATAGTTTATATTTAATTAAATTTTCTTAAAAAAAGAAAGAAGAGTACAGTTCAGATGAATTATTATATATAGGTGAGGAACCTGACCTTATGAAAAATTTGCAGCCATTTTTGGATGAAATTTACCACCCTGTCAAATATTTCATTGTGATGGGGAGGCAAGGGATGTAATATTTAAATATAATGTATGTGATGTACGGTTGAAGTCATAATTATTAGCCCCCCTAAATTATTAGTCCACCTGTTTATTGTTTCCCCTCAATTTCTGTTTAACGGAGAGAAGATTTTTTTTCAGCACATTTGTAAACATAATAGTTTTTATAACTCATTTCTAATACCTGTTTTATTTTACCTTTGCCATGATGACAGTAAATAATATTTGACTAGATATTTATCAAGACACTTCTATACAGCAGCATATGGTAATTAGGCAAGTTATTGTATAATGATGGTTTGTTCTGTTAAAAATTAAAAACTGCTTTTATTCTAGTTGAAATAAAACAAATAAGACTTTCTCCAGAAGAAAAAAATATTATCAGACATACTGTGAAAATTTTCTTGCTCTCTTAAACATCAATGGGAAATATTTAAAAAAGAAAAAATAATTAAAGGGGGTTTAATAATTCTGACTTAAACTATAAATCAGTATTACACTTAAGAAATGCTGTAAATACAAATATCCGATGTGGTCTTTCTGTGCAAAACATTGTGGTGGTCCATCTTACCCCAATGGATAGTCTAATTTTACAGTGCATTCATTACTCAACCCCAAAATATAAACTGTATATATTTTACACACCTTTAAAAAATATAACACTAGGTAAATAACTGGATTAAAAAAAAAGTTTTAAATCAGCAGTTCATAAAGAAATACTTTGTCCTTACCATACGGTCACGGGTTCATTTTGTTAAAGGTTTATAAAAAAGAAAATGGAATGCTACATAAATTAACGTTTAATGGTGTTCTTAATGTGTTGACTAAATTAAAAATCCTAATTTGATTTGCATTTTTTCAAACACATTTGTTTTTTTCAGGGCAAACAATGAGGCAATTCAATTCAAAGTTAAAAATCTTATAATAAAAAAATGATTTAAATACAGATATTCTATTGATGCAGAAAAAAAGGACACTGTATTATTAGAAAAACATTTTAATTAAAAAATCTATTTTTTCGATTACTGTAATGTTGTACATGTCATCTGTAAAAGGGTGGTACAAGAAAGGTTCTCTAGCCTAAAGAAAAACAGTGCATTTAATAATAAGGATTTTGTGCCTGAGGTGGGAAAATAGTCTTTTTTGCAGGGTTATGATAGCTTTCAAGTTGTAGGTTTTTTTTTTTTTTTTTTTTTACAAAGCACATCATTTAAAAAAAGCTTTAGGATTTCAGGACAGTGAAAATACAGTCCCCAAAACAGTTCAAGTGCTTGATGAGAATGAGGTTGACATTAAACACAGAGTTTTGCTTGAAGAAGTAATTTGTCTATATTTTCTTGATGAATTTTAATAAAAATGACAGAAATATAAAAATACAGTACTGTTAAATAGTCCTAGGCCACCAAAGCTGTTACATTACTGTACATACTGAAATATTTGTGTTCCAGGTTCAAACATGTGGGCTGAAGATGACTTGGGTCCCACTGCTCCACCATGTCTTGAGAGCTATTCAGCACCAGAATATTATAAAGTTTACAGAATGTATCACGGCACATCTTGGGAAGCTGCAGAACAAATATTTGAGAAGGGTTTTCTCCAGTCCTGTAAAGGCATGCTTGGACGTGGCGTCTATCTCGGTCGAGATCTAGAGAAGGCCTCCAGATACCCTCTGAATCTGCCTGACAACCAGAGAATGATTGTCAGAGTGAAGGTCAATGTTAGAAGAGTGATAAAGATTGACCGTCAACGTCATCCACTGCAGAAAACCTGGCATGATGATGGGTACAGCACTGTCACACCTGCTGCAGTGCCCTCTGGTGGTTTTCAAGGGCACCAGTTTTTGTTTTGGTTTTTGTGTTTTGTATCCTAGTCATGTGATCACTCCTTGGGCCTGTTTCAGAAAGGAGGTTAACTGAAAACTCAGAGTATTTTAACCCTGAAATGAGAGAAACTCTGGGTTTTCCATTTCAAAATGGCAGGTTTGTTAAACTCGAGAAAGCAGGGTAAGTCAAGCCTGTTTCTGAAAGAAAGGTAACTTTAACTCAGAGTCAGTTACTGTGGTAACTTACTCTGTGAATCTAACCTGGGGGCTGTTCCAGAAAGCAGGTTATGTGACATACACGGGTAAGTTTGAGAGTAAGTAGGTGGATAACCTCAACTTTGGTTCCAAAATCGGAGGTAACTTCTGGGTATGTTAAGTAGCCATAGCAACTTACTCTCTGAAGATAACCTGCTCCGGAGCAGGTTATGTTCAGAGAGTAAGTTGCTATGTTTCAGAGTTTGTCTGTTTCAGAGAGTTTACTGAGCATTGCGTGCTCTTTTGATGGGAATATTTATGGATGTGGACACACAGATACAAGTTTTTTCGTTGTGAGAGGGTTATAAGTGCATAGTTTTTTTCATAACCAAATTCATAATGTTAATGTGTTTAACAAACCTTTTTGAAATCAAATGTGACAAACCGCGGGTCTGGGCTTACCATAAAAATCATTTAGTGCAGCTCTTTGTATTCGCGTCAGGGCATTTTAGGCAACTGTACAATGTGGCAGTATGACCACCTGTACAGTATGCCTGGCACTGAACTGTTTTTTACACTTTTGTACAGTTCCTTGGTCATACATTACTGCGTATGATTACACAGATGATTCAGAGCATGGCAATAGTGTAGTGGACAGTGCGTCGATAAAGAACAACGGAGCGCACAATGGAGCGAGTTCGAATCTCACTTACAGATCTTGGGTTTTTTCTCTCCTTCTGCACCCTCACATTTTTCTGTATAATATTATAAGTGGCAGCTTTGTCTTTTGTAGGAAAATATATCTTTAATTTAAGATGTAGGACGTCGTTGTTATATATACATTCACGCACACACACCTACATTTTTTAATATAATATTTTTTTCAGGGTTTCTAAATGCTATTGTGTGCATTAATTGCAGCCGATTTTAAAGCTCCATCAGTCACTAAAGGACACTGATAATATAAAATTTGTCCAAAGTATAAGTGTGCAGGTACAACTTAATTTTCTATCCTTAATCTTTTGGTGTTTCAACTATTAAACTTATTACTGCTTCCACTTACCAGCTCATCACACACCCCACCTCATCACTATATGTTGAGGCTAAATGGCTGATTTTCAGGAAGTAATGATTCAAGTGTATAACACAAATATAGTAAAAAAAAAAAAAAAAAAAACTATAAAGCAAATGTTGCTTTACACAATGTTTATTTTTATTATATTTGTATTATTCAATAGAATCATTACTGGGCACTACATTGTTACTTGCTGGAGGACAAAAGATACCCTTTTCTGCCTTATACGATGACACGTACCTGCAGCCTGACCCAGAGGAAATCTCAGTGACCCAAGCAGACAAAACAGATGGAAGAGTGCTAAATATAATTAGTCAAAAAACTATGTTTAATCAAATAGTTTGGTCTGTTCATTTCTTCATTTCCTGAAATAAAATGAATGATTTTGTACACTGCTTTATACACACACCTTTCAACGTGTAACATATTTTTCATATACATTTCTCACCTTAAGTTGATGCCCATGTGACTTTATCTTTGAAGATGGACCTTATACAGCTACTTTAGAATTTAAATATGTAGATAAAAGATTTTGTGATCCAAGAGTAATATTCAAATATGGAAAAGTGCAGAAAATTATTACACTGCTTGTTAGTTGAGGCAGAAGGAACTTCGTCTGCATGCAAAATAAAAAGAACCTAAAGCTATCTGACAACAATCACTTACAACAGTGACAGAGTGTGTGGTTTAAGTCAAAAACTCAACCACTGAAAAGCCTTTATTATAGGACACAGCAGTTAGACAGGCCTCTTTCTATTAGCTGCATGTCAGAAAGAATATTCTAGAGTGTTAAATAAAGAGCTCCAGTAATTAAATATTACCTTTTATGATAATTTTTCTGTGTTTAATGACTTTGGACAGAGTTCTAGCTCCAGAAAGATTACAATTTCTATAAGCCTTATTAGTCAACACACATATTGTGGCCTTAAGAAATTAATGGCAAGAAAAATAAATGCATGAATGGTTACACAACATACTCAAAAAGGATGTTAAAGAGTAGTTTAATTTATCATTACAATAAAATGGAGGGTGGCATGTGTAATTTAATGAACCAATAAATTTTCTCATTATTTATTTTCTTATCTATTTCTTATTCTATATTTCTTTCCTTCGTTGAAGCAGATGTGTAATCTCTGTGTTTAAAACCTCCAGCTTCGCCTCTGTAAAGTGCGTTGCCCTTTTTTTCTCACCGTGATTTTCTATGGTGACTCGTGAATTCGGCGATCTACTGAAAATGCCTTCAGGTGTGGGCCGTGCACGCGCATTAACCCGCGATTATCTTCAGGAGGTTGATTTAACTAACTCTTGTCACCTGTTTTGAAACCAACATACTCGCGGTAAGCAGGTTTTGGGTAAATCAACCGAGAGTTTAGGTTTTAGCAGATGGTAAGTTAACCCAGCTTTCTGGAATACCCCCCTGGTCAGAAGCAGGTTTTATTCTCTAAACTCAGAGTTTCTGTCGGTCTCCTCCCCTTTTTTAAAGATGAAGCGGTATTTCTCGCCATAGCCTTACGTTTCCACCCACCTATTTTTATGCTTATTTTGGATACGTGCATAAAAACGATTGATAGAAACGTCATGATGCACATAACTTTTTAAAATATGCATAAAAAACGCGCATAACTGAGTAGGATAAACTTTTATTCGATAGAAAATCTGCGCATAAACTACGATGAAACACTTTTACTGAACAAATTACAGTATGTACATTAAAAAAAGATTATGATCTTATGATAATGAAAATGTGTGTAAATGAGCAAACCAGCAGGCTGAGCACACTGTAACATGTCAAAAAAATATTGTTTTAGTCATTTAAAAATGCCTTTACTGTTTCAGTATTAGTGTATATTATTAATTACCTCCGAACGTCTGGTGCGTGTCAAGAGTCTCCGTGTCTCATGGCATCAGACGCCCCCATGTGTTCATTGTGTTTCAGCATTGTCTTCTGACATCGAGGCGCAAGTACATTAATTAGGCTAAATAAATAATTAATTGGCGCAGCTTCTTCTACCACAGTAAATTCTGTTTTTACTGTTGATATTTGGTGCCAGTTTAATCAGGAAGTGACGATTTTTTTCTCTTTGACTCGTTGGATGGAATTTTATTCGCATCTTTTAAGCAATATTCCAGTTTTGCACATACATTTATGTAATATATTTGGATGGAAACATAGCTATTGCCTACATTTTAGTCACACACAGAAGAACTGTACGAGAATGGCTTATCCTTTTTTAATAAATAATTAAATTAAATTCACCTACGACATGCATGTAACTAGATTAATGGGATTATTATTCTTTCTAAAATTATTTTTAGTACTGCTTACCTTCTAAATGTTATATTAACCTCTATCACTTGATCAATAAAAAAGGCAGACACAAGCGCACTGTTAAATCATTTAAAACTAATAAATGTATAAAAAAGTTTAGAAAAAAAATAATAAACGTCACAAATTACATTACTTATTTTATTATACTTAAATATTTAAATACTTAAAAAGTGAAATTACGCATTAACTTGAGCAGCTGTTTTCCCACGCTAACTGTCTCTTCTTCACTGATGGTTGCTTCTTTTCAAATATATACGCTCAAATTTGCTATAACTTTGCATGAGAACATCAATTTCAGCTGGAGAAAGAAATGGTGATCTCTTAAGATATTGCCATATTCACTCGTAATGTCTGCACTCCATTGATAATGCCTTTTTAAAGTCACGGTGTGCGCGCTTAACTCTGAGTTGGTCTACTCGAAGTTGATTGACCCAACTCAGATCAGCTATTCTGAAACCGAAAACTCAGAGTTTTTAATCTCTCGGTAAATCAACTCAGAGTTCAAGTTTAAACTCTGAGTTGTTTGAACCTCCTTACTGAAACAGGCCCCTTGTTTCCAGCTGCCCTCATTGTCTAATTAGTTCTCTCTTTATAAGCCCTGTTATGTTGTGTTTAGTTTGCCTTTGGATTTTCAATGCCTAAGATTGTGGCCACTTTGCAGCAATTGCCAAAGATAGTCAAAAGCTCTGAGCTTCAGTGCCATACCACAGCTATCTTCAAACCAGTGCCTGAACCCTTGACTAGTTTTGAAACCACTTGTTCGGAGGATTCATCTTTAGAGTTGGGGGAATCCTTATTTTCAATGTCACACCTGCTGCAGTGCCCTCTGGTGGTTTTCAAGGGCACCAGTTTTTGTTTTGGTTTTTGTGTTTTGTATCCTAGTCATGTGATCACTCCTTGTTTCCAGGGGCCTGTTTCAGTAAGGAGGTTCAAACAACTCAGAGTTTAAACTTGAACTGTGAGTTGATTTACCGAGAGATTAAAAACTCAGAGTTTTCGGTTTCAGAACAGCTGATCTGAGTTGGGTCAATCAACTTCGAGTAGACCAACTCAGAGTGAAGCGCGCACACTGTGACTTTAAAAAGGCATTATCAGTGGAGCGCAGACATTACAAGTGACTATGGCAATATGTTATAAAAGAGATCACCATTTCTTTCTCCGGCTGAACTTGATGTTCTCATGCAAAGTTATAGCAAATATGAGTTTATATATTTGAAAAGAAGCAGCCATCAGTGAAGAAGAGACAGATAGCGTGGGAAAACAGCTGCTCAAGTTAATGCCTAATTTCACTTTTTAAGTATTTAAATATTTAAGTATAATAAAATAAGTAATGTAATTTGTACTGTTTATATTTTTTTTCTAAACTTTTCTTTTATACATTTATTAGTTTTAAATGATTTAACAGTGCACTTGTGTGTCTGCCTTTTTTATTGATCAAGTGATAGAGGTTAATATAACATTTAGAAGGTAAGCAGTACTAAAAATAATTTTTAGAAAGAATAATAATCCCATTAATCTAGTTACATGCATGTCGAAGGTGAATTTAATTTAATTATTTATTAAAAAAGCATAAGCCATTCTAGTACTGTTCTTCTGTGTGTGACTAAAATATTGGCAATAGCTATTTTCCATCCAAATATATTACATAAATTTATGTGCAAAACTGGAATATTGCATAAAAGATGCGAATAAAATTCCATCCAACGAGTCAAAGAGAAAAAAATCGTCACTTCCTGATTAAACTGGCACCAAATATCAACAGTAAAAACAGAATTTACTGTGGTAGAAGAAGCTGCGTCAATTAATTCTTTATTTAGCCTAATTAATGTACTTGCGCCTCGATGTCAGAAGACAATGCTGAAACACAATGAACACGTGGGGGCGTCTGAAGCCATGAGACGCGGAGACTCTTGACATGCACCAGACGTTCGGAGGTAA